GTTCCTTATGATGTAGACTTCTGGTTTTCTGTTTCAAATGAATCACATTTTTAACTATTTCAATCAGACAACCTGGTTTGTAAATAAAAAAAGTTTATTTCAATAACAAAACTATTTACTTTGGTGTGTAAATGACAGGGTTTTTTTTTCCAAATGACAGGACTTCACTTCTGATTGACCACAGTGGTTGAAGGAAGTTCCCAGCATGTGTCTTTGTTGACACACGAGTRCATCACATTTCCTGCCACACTTGTAACGTGTTTCAGCGAACAGTGTCACAAGTGTCGTGTTTCACTTCTCACAATCACATAAACATGTTTTCAACCAACAAAATACTGATTCACAGTAACTTCATTCTGTAGCATCATGTGAAATGACTGTTTTTAGGACTTGAAGGCAACATACAATATTTATCCTAAAACATATAGGATGTATTTAAAGTTTCCATTGGTGACACTGTTGTAGACAAATTTAATAAAGTCAGAAATATTTGGATCAATAAAAGGAAATGTTTTATTTTATTCATTTATCTAAAAAAAAACAAATTCTATATACTGTATAATAAAAATTTTGACATTAAATGAAATAAGGAATTTTTTTTTGTAAAAACACATTTCAGAGTGCAGTGTTTAAACAAAACAATATGAGACATAAACCACAGAAAGTGGTTTTCACCATTATAGACTGGTTACATCTTATGTAAAATATTGAACCATAAGAACAGATYCTGAGATGAGTCAGGAGACATGACTTCTTATAACCTTGGTACAAATTCAAACCTTTACGCATATAATGCTCAAGCAGAAGATATTTATAAAAATAAATKTATGCAGAACCAAAGATACTTTGGCCCTGCACAATCTAACATATGTTTAAAATATCTGTCATTAGGAGTGACTCACCTGTGACCAAAATATCTCTCAGCCCACTAAACTCATTTTGATTAAACTTCCATTTCAAACCACTGAACACTTAAAACTGATTCACTTTTGGAGTTTATTTATTTACGGTAATAACAGGTGTCAAAAATTTAATTTGATGGGGAAAATGTGCTGTTTTTAGATGTTTGTTAGTGAGCGACACCGAACARTTGTTTCAGCAAACTTACTGCAAAGATGCAGAATTACAGGTTTTATGCGCTACTAGGGAAACCAAATGCGTGATTACTTTTCCAATAACCTGAGGTTTATTTGTAAGATTTATTCTTATTCAGAGCTCATTAAACGAGTGTTTGAGGTATCAGGGGCATCCAGACTTGTTTCCACAAATAGAGATCAGGTTTTCAGTCATTTTTATGAGTTTCATAGCCTCCCAATTGTGTTAAAAGTGTCTTTCTGAAAGCTTTAATTAAATGTGTTAATTTAGAAAGTGACAAAAAGAGGAAACAYACATGTGGAAACATGTTCTCCTTTCAGCCGCAGCCGAACATCGTCAAGGTGACAACCTTTAGGACCGGGGGCCAAAAGGTTTGTGTGCTTGGTGCAACAAAGGATGTGAAGAAACTTGGTTAAACCTTTTGCAACGTATTGCTTCAAAATGGAGCACTTTGTTAATACAGTCTGCCTTTTATAGCAGAACTAATGTTTTTCACATACAGGGAACAAAAGAAATGTTTTTCTACTTTGTGGTTATGACACAACGTGGCTGCAGAAGGGAAGGAAGAAAAAAAAAAAAAGGAGAGAAAAAGCAAACACAATTTGTTTTTCCCAGCACTAGATGGGGCTGAAGACTGGGAACTTTAATTCAATGCGGGGGTGGATTCCTCAGCTGTCAACATGGAGTTTWAAAAAAATAGTGGATGTAAAAGTTAACAGTATGGCCCTGATGTTTTATTTAAAACACTACTATACAAAAGTTTGGCCGTAACAAGTTGTGCACATTTAAAAACAAACTTCTTAAAAAGACTAAATGTGAAGATATTTTTTGCATCATTACCACACAAGGCAGCGTCATCGACTCGACACATTTACACAAACGTTAAATAACTTATGGAGTCAAAAGTACAGGAAAAAAAAAAACAAATATGGCATTTATCTAAAATTTATTTGGTGAACTGTTCACTTCTAATTTAGGTGGTCCCACCTGATAAAAAGATACAGCTGATCGCAAAAAAAATCATGAAAAAGAAAAATGGTCAGCCTCCAGTTGTGTCAAATACAGTTTGGTTTAGAGAGAAGACCCTTAGATTTCATATTTTTTCAAGAGCATCTTCATACTTATTAAGGCCTTTTCCACTTAAGAAGAAAAAAAAGGTGGAAATCAATTTCCTGACTTTAAATCGACAGCCAAGCTTCAACATAAACTAAAGGAAAAGTGCATTGAGTGTTCAAGTAGGCTGTGAAAGAACAAAGGGTTTGGGGTGAGACAACACTGTCACACAACCAGTAATCTGCAGAGATTAGACGAGTGGAGGCTGAGAACCTCCAGTTCTGAGTGCAGGTGGCTGATCGTGACCTGTACGAAGACAAAATGACCGATTTTACCATTTCAGGCTGTTTAAAAACGATGCAACTCCTTATTGAGGATGCCGACGCAGGCGGTGGACAACCGAGAGTAGCAGGAGAAAATGGGGGCATCCATTTTTTTTTTTAAAAAAGATGACCCTCGCCCCCACCAACTCCCCCCCGGTTTCATCTTTTGGCACGTCGCGGATCCCTGCCGTTGCTGATGGTAACAGAGGACTTTGTGGCTGTCTGGGGTCCAGCAGCGTTAACCGGCGGGGCGCCATTGCCGGGTGATCGGCCGTTGGGACGTCCGATGCTCCCGAATCCCGGGTCACGGGGCGTGCCTGGTGGAGGGTTGTTAGAAAACGGCGGCATGGTGCCGTTACCTGCAAGTCGAAAAATAGATGCAAGTTAGAAATTCGTGCAACTTTAAATATACGTGAAAGAATTTCACCGTCCTGCGACTTTTGTGCAGCATTTTTATCCCTTAAAACAGTCTAGAGCTGTCTAAAATCTAACTCCAACGCATTTTAAAGACCAATCAGAACGTTGATTTTCTCTGCAGTGTCTGCTTATGGCAGCAGAGGAAGTGAATGAAGCCAGTCTGTGTTGACAAGGCCTCCAAATTAAATTAATGTCTCACAAAGTCTGCAGGACTTATTTACAGTTGTCTTGTTCGGCTCAGTACTTCTCTCCTCTCAGCAGGGTTAGCTTCGTAGCTTAGCCTCCTTCACAGTGAAGCTGGTGCATATGCGTCGTGGCCAACTTGTTAGCRATTAGGTAAATCAGATCCAATCGTTTTAAATTTCAGAGGGCCAGGAAGTAATCTCTTCTCAACAGCTGAGAGTCCAGACCCTCCGTACGAAGAAAGGCGAAGAACAAGGGGCTGGTTTTTACCAGGCTAATGGAAATTAGCATTATGCTAAATCAACAACATTGTGCTAAATCAGCAACATTATACAATCACTGTCCCATTTAAATATAAATCAATAAAATATTGTCAACCTAAAAAAGTGTGCTTTGCAAGCTGTGCGCACAAATAGGTTGAATTTCAAAAAGATTGAATTAATTAAAAACAGCCACACTAAGCGTGGCTCGGTCTGAAACAACTAATTTAGTGAGCTGAAAGAATCAACTCTTAGTTGAGCTGAACCAAATGATCCAAATCCCTGAAAGAGACAATATTTCCAACGTTAGTAGTGAAAAATACACTGACCTGGTGGAGCAGGTGTACCTGAATTCTGATTAGGTGGAGAGTTTCCTCTCTGGTTCTGGTCAGGCTTACCCTGTTTGGAGGAGAGGCAACATGTAAGTGTTATGTATATATACACTCACTGGCCACTTTATTAGGTACACCTGTCCAACTGCTCGTTAACACTTAATTTCTAATCAGCCAATCACATGGCGGCAACTCATTGCATTTAGGCATGTAGACATGGTCAAGACAATCTCCTGCAGTTCAAACCGAGCATCAGTATGGGGAAGAAAGGTGATTTGAGTGCCTTTGAACATCATGGCACCAACAACCAACATGGTTG